CACGATGGGTCTCCTTGAGACTCATTTTGAAGGCAAGATGCAGCCTTTTCCAACACATTCATAGCGAGTACCTAATATTTTTTCAAACCTAGTTGTACCATTTTTTCCAATACATTAAACCAATACGAGCCTCTGCTCCCAAGCCCCGCAGCACTTCATCATTCAGTGCTGCCGCTCTCGCCCGTGTCAGAGCAGAGCGGATCCTGTCCGACATACATTTCTCAGTCTATTAGGCAGAGTTATTCTTTTGCTCTGTGTTTTGATACTTACAAAGCCATTACCATCCTTCGCATGCACATCCATCATCAGGCCTTCAAACTCCAGAAAGTCCCAAAAAACTATTTTCCACTCACCATGCAGCCTGCCAGGCTCTGTTCTTCTACTCTGCGTTCCTTCATCCATCGAAAGACATTTCAGCAAGTTCCGAGTCCAACAAAATAAACAGATGGCAGCCTGAAAAGGTGGTGATTTTTTTTTTTTTGTGAGGGGGGAGCAGGGCAAGGGATACAGTAAGGAAGAGCTAACTTCTGTCTGCCTGGTTGGAAAAGCTAACCTGGGCTCCAAGCACTGATGCCCATCTGGAGCCGGAGGGGCTCCAGGCGCTGTTTTGCAAAGCCATGGGGTCTTGCAAAGCTCCGTGGGGGTGCACCCAGTCCAGTGCTGGCCCCCACCAAGCACCCACGCACCCTCCCTCCTCATGCCCCCAGCACCCTGCAGTCACTGGCCATCCCCTGCGCAACTCTGGAAACCCGGCACGTGCTGCTCGCCCGCGTTTTGCGAGGAGATTCACCATCATACCTCTGCGCTGCCCCGATGGCTCCCCAGCAGAGACCACGCGCTCCCCAAAATCACCCACATGCAGCCACAGAGCAGCACCATGCTGCAAAACACCAGCTCTGCTACAGCCTTAAGGGATGGGGGCAATGCAGGGAGAAGCAATCTTGCCCCAGTCCAGCACAAACCAGCCCTGGGGCTGCCCCTAAGCCCAGCACAGGCACCGAGCATTATTGCATCTTGACCCAGCAATCACCAGTTCAGACTTACAGGGAAGATTTATGAAAGGATGTGGCCAGATGAGCGATAGAGACGAATAGCCTTGAGGAGTGACTGATTTCTCCCTTACAAGAGGAATAGAAATTAATTTATGAATTGGGTTAGTTAAGTTGCCAAGTGGCTTTGATGCAGTTTATTTTTTTGCATATGTTCATGATCTATTGCACAGCTGTCAGAGGGGGAGGAAGGTCCAATTGAGCCGGAGCAATGCATCACTCCGGCTGAGGCAGCCAACAGCTCTCAGCAAAACCAGATTGTCCTTTAATCGGCCACGGGTTGGTTTGCTGCTTTCCCAAAGCAGGCGCCTCGTTCCTCCCCAGTTCACCCTCGAGGGCCTGGAGCCCCGTTACTTGCCACGCAGGTGGGGAGCGGGGCAGGACCCCCTTCCCCATGCCAATGGCGAAGTACAGCCCACCGGAGACACTGCTGATGCAGAGTCTTCTTTCACCTTACCCACCCCTTGTGTGTTTTGGTAGGACCTACAGCAAGTCAGGAGAATCGCCAGGGAGATATGGAGCGGGGACAGGGTGGTGGGTGCTTTATTCCTTACCAAGACTGCACTTTTAGAAAGAAACCACGGAGGGCAGAGCAAGGACGCGGTGCTCACCGAAAGCAAGCGCAGGGACCTATTACACCATGTCTGAGGGACACCCCTTCCCTCCAGAGGACACCGTCCCCCTGCACACCAAGGGACAAACCTGCCCAGGGGCTCAGCCCCGGCTCCCCAAGCTTCCTACGGGCTCCGGCTCCCTGTGCTCCCCGGTGTTACAGGTGCTTGGAGATTTTTCAAGACACAAAGTAATTTCCTGTTTGAAGAAGTTGACAGATCTGCACCGAAACCGCATAACCCTTCGCATTTCAGGGAGATCCGACTGCTCCGGCTCAGGGTTTCTCTCCAGTATGCTTTTTCCCCCCCAGATATAAGGGGGGGAAGTTGGGTTGAGCAATCCTCTCTGTCCCATGTCCAAGTGGCTTCAGGTTTAGGACAGATACCGTGTCCTTCCATGAGGTCTGTGACAAGTGCGTGCAGCGCCCACGTGCCAAAGAGGTGCCCCAGCCCGGAGCGGGGTCCCAGCCCTGTCCCCAGCCCCATCCTAACACCGATCCCAGCCCAGGAGACACAGCAGCCGCTGCCAGCCTTCCCTGCATCGCCCTACTCCCTCCCAAAAACCTCCCACACACAGGGCTATTTAGGCAAAACCCCTGGTAATTAAATTATCACATAAATACAGCAAAACCAGCTAATGCACGTTTACAGGCTTGACGCCTCTTCAGTTAATAGCTGCTTTGTAGCCAGAAGCATGAGAATTAAATCAGATATAGGCAATAGCTCCTTTGGGGCAGGAGGTGGCACTCGGGGCTCCAGCCCTGTGCATGCACATGCTGGGGTCGCACCAGCATGGGTGGGCTCACCCCACTGTGGCAACAGAGCAGGTCCTGGGTCCCAGGCTTGTTTTGCTGGGTCCCAGGGCTGCAGCAGGCTGCCTCCGGCCACCCAGCACCCAGCCTGTGCACCCAAGCACAACGCAGCCCCAAGGAGCTGCCAGAGTCCAGGCCTCAGCACCCCTGCTCGTGGGAGAGTACAAAGCTCCAGACAGAGGGGAGATGCAGATCCTGCTTTCTGAATTCCCTCATTAGAGGCCACATCAATCTCCAAAAGCAAATGAAGGGAGGGAGATGAATTAGCAAGGGACGTCGCGGCATGCAGACGGCCATTTCATGGTAGTCTGCTCCAAGTCGTCTTCTCCCTGTCCAAGCCACCAGACTGCACAACCAGCTCAGCACCCAGCACTGCCACCGATTCCTCACACTCCATCAGGACACATCATCTCTCCCTGCTTCAGTGTTTGCCTCTGCAAACGGGAAGCTCCCAGCCGTTATCTTTGAGAGACATGAACATCCAAAGGATGCACAAACAGACCTATCAACATGCACAGAAGCCTTTCTTCTACTCGCTCCCAAGCACACTACAGACCAGCAATGCAGGTTTCACACCTTTGCTCTAAGCAATATCACTCCTGGCAGGGACCCGCAACCCAGCACACAAACCTTTCCAAGAAGCACAAGCACAGAGCTGGCGTGACCCTGCATAGGGCAGCACGCTCAGCCCCACCACCATCCCAAAAAGCAGCAGCCAAACAGCTCCACGATGGAAAGAGCCAGAGATAACTAACCAGCAAGCCCATACCTTCCTCCTCACTAGAGATATTTGTAACAAAAACAAAGATCAGGGAAGAAAAAGAGAAAAGCCCTTATCTTGCAGCAGTCTCAGCCCCCAGAGACCGTGCAGCCACATTCCCCAGTAAGCACCATCATGCTCAGCACCTGCAGCCCCTTTTCACCTGGACCTGGGGGCCTTTTTTTAATTTGTAGGGCTGAAAGGCAGCTGCTTTGGGAAGTAACATGGCAAATATGGCATTGCAGAGACTCAGCACACCTAGCTTTGGGAAAAAGCTGAGGCCTAGGAGGGGCAGAGGAGATAAAGAATAGCTTTCTCAGTGAGCGGCCTTAGAGAATTTGAAGAGGAAGGATGCTGCAAATTCCCTAAGGCCACTCATTTGCAGATTTTCCTTGATCCACAAGATGCAACCGGCAGCAATGAGTCACAGCCCCTGTGGCCCCACGTAGGGCCATGAGCTTGCACAGAGCATTGCCACCATGGGAGCGAACAGGCACTGGTAGCCCAGATGCACGGAGCAAAGTGCATGCAAGGGAGGTGACCGATGGCACTTGCTGATGGAGGGGGAGCTCCAGGTCGGCTGGAGGTTGTTGTGACATTCCTGCTCAGACCAACAAGGCACTGGAAAGTCTTTGGATGAGCTGGCCTGCTGCCCCAACATCCCCTTGCTCCATGACCTTTCTTCCTGCGGAGAAAACACAGCCCCGAGTGCCTGAGTCAGCTGTAAATCCCCAGCATCGATCAGACACTAAATGCAGCACTTGGTGGTTGCAGAAGGGGAAGCAGATTGCACGAAGGAAAGAGCGCAGCAGGTCCTGGCTGACACCAAAGCATCACTGGGGCTCCCACGCAGGCAGGGGGGGTGCAGAAACCATCCGGGTGGTCCCAAAAGCACCAGAAACTAAGGTGAATGATGGAAACAAGAGGAGCACTACAGTAGTTTAGGGAAAGACATCTTTTGCTAATTATATCCAAGTGCAAAGCCAGTAGGTGTATCCCCTCCTTTTGTATAGAGTAAGTTTGGATCTTGCAGCCCCCCAGGACGTGCAGATGCCCCAGCAAAACGCTGCCTGCTGAGCCCTGTGGGGTCGGGGGGATCAGGACGAGGGGGCAAAGGCACCCATGGGCAGCCCAGGGCCGCTGGCAGCTGCACCCAATGCGGCAGAGATGCCACCCTCCCCTTTTCCATCCTCATCAGCACTCTTCATCCCCCTCACCTGCTCCTCGTGCCCCCTCTGAGTTCACCCCTCGCTCCTTCCCTCTTCTTCCTCTTCCTGAGCTCTGCTCTATGTTGAAACGCCTTCCCCAGGGTGTCTGTGGAGGCTCACACAGATGCAATTTACCCTTGTAAAAAAGAAGCAGAGTTTGGCCAGTCTAACCGGTAGCGGTTCCTCAAGGGGAGAGACGTGGCCTTAGCAAAGGGACGTTTCTGCTGGTGGAAATGGTTCTGCAAGGATTGTCCCCGAAAGTGCCGCTGCAGTGATGAGTTTTGGTGTGGATGAGGTCTAGGAGGGACAGTGGCTGGGTGGGCACAGGACAAAGGCTGTAGGGCACCGTTGTTTCCCCCTGGCTTTTTGCCTGCTGGTTTTCCGGGGGCCCCCAAGTTTCCTCCCCATAGGCTGGCCAGGCACAAACCCACGAGGCACAGATTTTCTCTGATTAGGCAACGGCGTTGCAGCCTCTCCCCTTTCGCTTTCAGCTGCCTCTTCCTCCTTGTCCCCGAGGCAGCCCCGAGCACGGCAGCACCCACATCGCGGTGGGTGCTGCCATGGAGCCGAGCGCACGGGAGCCCCTCGTGAGGAAGAAGAGTTCCTCGTATCGGACCTTCCCCGAGAGCGCTGGCAAGAGGCTTGACAAGGAGTACCTGCGGTAAGGGCCGGACTGGGAACGTGGGGCTGGCTGTGGGGTGGGCTGCATCCCCTCTCCCGAGAGCACTGGGCTCGGGGGGGAGATGGTGGAAAAGCTGCTTCGTATTGCTGTCGTTCCTGAGTTGCCTTGAGATGGGGTCTCATCCTGCCCAGGGGGTGCGGTGCTGGATGAGCCCACTTGGGAGAGCCGCGGGTTTGTGTGGTTTTGGGCATCCAGCTCTCATGGGGGTGTAAGGTCCTGCTGGGGGGCTTGGGACCCTTGAAAGGAACCCCCTCCCTGCTCTGCCGGGACAAGCCGGCTGCCGGATGGGTCCATGGTGCCACCCAGCTCCAGCTTCTGCTTTTCTCAGTTTACTGAACATGCTGAAAACAACCTGGCGCAGAAGAAAGCATTGGTGGTGCCTGGGGGGGACGTGCTCTCCCCCCGCCACCACACGGCAGGAGTGGCTGCTGCTCCACTCGGAGAAACCCCACCAGCCTGGGGCTGTGCAGGGCCATTCCCCAGAAAAATCCCTCCGTGGGTGTCACGAGATCCTCAGCAAAGGCTGGGGGAAGCCGCAAGACAGATTTAAAGTTTCTGCTGGGTGCGATAAGGGCACCCAACACATCCTTCTCGCTCCGTCCTTCCCTCAGGAGCCTCCGCAACAGGCGGCTTTACTTGGCTGTGTTTGCTGCTGTCCTGGGGAACTTCAGTTTCGGCTTCGCCCTGGTTTACCCCTCGCCCGTCATCCCTGCCCTGGAGGCTCACCCCAGCCCTGCGCTGAGGCTGGACCAGCACACGGCATCCTGGTTCGGAGTAAGAGACGGGGTTATCCCTGCCAGGGTTGGGGGGACAGAGCCAGTGGGTGTGCGGGGAGGGAGCTCGGACCCACCGAGGTCCCTCTCCGTGTCCCCCCGCAGTCGGTGTTCACGCTGGGAGCGGCGGCGGGGGGGGTCAGCGCCATGCTCCTCAACGACCGCCTGGGCCGCAAACTGAGCATCATGTTCTCGGCGCTGCCCTCCGCCGTGGGATACGCGCTGATGGCCGGTGCCCAGGGGATCGGGATGCTGCTGCTGGGCCGCGTGCTGACGGGTTACGCCGGCGGCGTGACGTCCGCTTCCATCCCGGTAACGTGCCGTTGGGAGGGAGTTTGCCGGGGATTTGCACGGTGGGAGACGGGGCAGCGCCGTAGCTGAGCCTGGGGCATCCTGCTGTTTTTTTGGAGGCATCAGCAGAACTCCAGGGCTGCGGCTGGGCGATTGGGGATGGGGAGGGTGCACTGGGTCAGCAGTCCTGGCACGGCCAGCCTGAGCTGTCCCCGCGGTGCTGGACTTTCTTGCCCGCAGAAAAGGGAAGGCAGGTCCTCGGTCCCTGCCCTGCTCCCCCCAGCAGTTATGTCCTCCCGTGTTTACCAGTTGCCAACCTCGTTGTTGCATGCAGAGGGGAAGGCAAGAATTGAGTAACCCTGGGGCACGTCTTTCCAGTAATGGAAGTGTGAGCATACTGCTGGGGCACTTCTCCCACGCCGGGGTGACGGGAGGGAAGTGGCCGTGTCTGCGAGGCCGTCCGCTCCGCCTGCCAGGACCAGCTCGTGCCGCTGGACCGGTCAGGTTTCCACCCCGAGAGGGCAGTTTCCCAGCAGTTTGGGTTTCCCTTGGCTGCAGTGGATGACTGTGAGGTGACGGAGGACAGGTTTTGGCGGTGACGGTCGTATATCGCAGCTCCGTTAAGCGTGCGTTGTCCCGCTCCAGGTCTACATCTCGGAGATCTCCCACCCCGGGGTCAGAGGCATGCTGGGCGCTTGTCCTCAGATCATGGCGGTGCTGGGCTCCCTCATCCTGTACGCGCTGGGCAAGTATCTCGGTGTTTGGAGGGCAGGGAACCCTCGGCGAGACCTTAGGGGAAGGGAGTTGATTTTAAACAACTTTCTCGGCGAGTTGATGGATTCCTTCCCCTCACAGCCAGCTCACAACCACCACCGCGGGTGTACAAAGCAGGTCTGGACAGGATCACCCGTGCATAACCCACACTTGTGTGTGTGTGCTCAGAGGGATGAATCCATAACCCGCACAGATTCATCACCGTGCCTGCAGACCCGGGTCCTGCCGAGGTTTCGTCAGGGCTGAAGGGCAGCACGCGATGAACTGTGTGTGCATCTCCCGCCAGCATGTGCCCTGGTTGCTGCAGGATCTTGCTGGCTACTCTAAGATTTGGGGGAGCTTGCTGGAATTTCCCCATATTGTACAGCTTAAAATGTTTCTTTGCTAGGAGAAAAACATACGCAAAATCTCTATTTATTTCTTTTTTAATTTTTTTTTTTTTTCCGGCTGGATTTATTAAATTATTGGGGTGCCCACATGGAGGCGAGGCCAGGGCACGCTTTCCGCTCCTAACTGTGCTGCTTCGGCAGGGCTGGTCCTGGACTGGCGCTGGCTGGCCGTCGCAGGGGAGGTGCCCGTGCTCGTGATGATAGTCCTGCTCTGCTTCATGCCCAACTCGCCCCGGTTCCTGCTCTCCCAGGGGAAGGACGATGAGGCCCTGGGGTCGCTGCGCTGGCTGCGGGGCAGGGACACGGACTATGCCCGGGAATATGAGCAGATCAAGGACAGCGTGAGGAAGCAGGTGAGGAGGCTCAGTGTGAAAACTGCAAAATCCAGCCTCCTTTGGGCAATTCCTGAGCCGTCTTCTGGGTGCCGCGGTGGTGCCCAGAGGTGGTAACACCTCGGCGTTGTGGCTTTGTCCCCTCCAGAGCCGGCGGGTTTCCTGTGCTGAGATCAAGGACCCCTTCATTTACAAGCCCATCCTGATCGCGGTGGGGATGAGGTTCCTGCAGCAGCTCTCGGGCGTCACCTGTGTCCTCGTGTACCTGCAGTCGATATTCAAGAAAACATCCGTCATCCTGGTGAGCCCCGGGGTTCGGCCTGTGCTCAGACTGCCGTGTCTTCGGTGATGGCTGTCCAATGCTCCGAGTCCCCTGCAGCTCTAAGAACCCCAACTTTGAAGCCTTTTTTTAAAGCACCTGGTTGGCATCAATTGCCAAGCACCTGCCCTGCAAAAGGCTGCATGAGGATGGGGAGCAGGACTGGCCCCACTGTCTCCCCGCTCTTCTCCTCTGAGCTTCAGGCTCTTTTCTGGTGTCTTACTATGGGAGGATAGCTTTGACAAAGTCATGAGCAAGACTCAAGGCAACACATGTAGGAACCTGCCCTTTCCCTGGCTCTCCTATCTCAGCTTCCCCACTGCTTTTGCTTTTGCAGAAACCAGAGTACGATGCAGCTCTTGTTGGCTTGGTACGTCTGTTCTCTGTGGTGATTGCTGCTGTGTCAATGGATAAAGCTGGGAGGAAGATTCTTCTTTTCGTATCAGGTATGTCTCTCTCCCACTGTCGTTCAAGGGAAGCTCTTACTTAAGGATTTCCAGGAGCTCTGCAAATGTGGAGGAGTGGAAACTTCAGCCATGCAGGACTCGGGCAGGGAGGGGGGAGGTCTCTTTCCTTCGGTGGTGGCTCAGGTCCTGAGCAGAGGCGTTCCCAGGCGCTCAGTCCTTGGCATGGAGGGGGTCACTCACCCATCGGTCCCACTGTGACGTTGCATCTCTCCGCAGCTGGTGTCATGTTGGTCTCCAACCTGACCATGGGGCTCTATATCCACTTCATGCCAGCTTCTCAGAACAGCACCATTGCTAACAAGACCCTGGTGAGCTCTGCCAACCTTCCTGCTGAGCCAACAAACTACATCACCCTCATCCCCCTCCTGGCAACCATGTTCTTCATAATGGGTAGGTGCAGAGAGCGAGACAGCGCCCAGGACCCACAGCACAGGGCTGGGTACCAGCCTGGGGGGACGTTTCTCATCCGAGGCAGGGTGATATGGAACAAGGAGATTGGGCTTGGAGTTGGAAGGCAGGCAGATGTCCCTGGAAGACCAAGAAAGATGGCATCTGAAGTCACTTTGAGGACTGACAGAGCATGAATGGGGGGGGAATAATGATTGATGGGGGAGCAGGGCAGGATTGCACAGGGCTCTTCTGCACTCCTCAGTGGGCTGCAGAGCCTCAGTAGCTTCACCCTGCCCCTTCTCCCCTGCAGGTTATGCCATGGGCTGGGGACCCATCACCTGGCTGCTGATGTCGGAGATCCTCCCTCTGAAAGCCCGTGGGGTGGCCTCGGGCCTCTGCGTCGTCGTGAGCTGGCTGACAGCCTTCACGCTCACCCAGTTCTTCCTCCGGGTTGTGGTGGGTACTGCCTCGGGAGGGTGTCCGGCAGCCCCTCCTCAGACCCTCTCTGCACCAGTTCACGTCTGCTTTCTGTCCCACTTTCCAGGACGCCTTCGGCCTCGAGGTGCCCTTCCTATTCTTCGCTGTCATCTGTGCTGGAAACATCTTATTCACAGGCTGCTGTGTTCCAGAAACCAAAGGCAGGTCCCTGGAACAGATTGAGGCCTTCTTCAGGACTGGCCGGAGGTCGTTCATGAGGTAGGAGCTGCCATCTGCCAGCCGTACTGGGCCACCAGTCCAGATGCTCAAGGGCAACAAAGAAAACAGTTGTGCTGCTGGAGGTGGAGGCTGGAACTCTCTGCGAAGGCAACGGGAGAGGAAAGGGTGGCCATGACTGTCTCGCTTTGGATGTAGAAGTTGCCACCTGGAACTTTACCTTCTCTTCCCGTCATTCAACACTATCTGTTGCTCTCTGGGCAACATGTCAACCCAAGGTATGGGACCAGGTAACCAGCACCAGGCTGGAGGTAAAGATGTCCTGGAAAATATAAGGTGTGGCTGTGGACAAGAGACCATGCACGTCCTTCGCTCAGCAGCCACCAAAGCAGCCTGAGAGCCCGAGGGTTTGGCTGGAACAGAGATAACAGCTGTAGCCACTTTGGCAAAAGCTCATCATGTAGTTGCAAGAATAAAACAGTTTTGCCTCCAACTTCAAGATGTTGCCTTGATTTGCAGAGAAGGGAGCTGCAGGCAGGTGGGATGGGAGAGGCAGACCAGGACTGTGACAAGGGGACCACAGCAGCCTGCAGCATCCCAGATGAGTCTCATGTACTTAAAGACTGTGAAAGAGGCAGAGCCAGGTATTTTGTATAAAAAGCTGCCATGTTTTATTGCTCTAAAAACAGACATTACACTAGAAGCCTAATGAACAAGACCAAATACAGTTCACAAAGAATCCAGGACAAAACAAAGAATGGGAACAGACAAACATTCAGCTGTAGTGCAAGTGATTCACTGTAGGAAAGACACAGCGGGTACTGCCAATACTTTGTACTGGGGTGGGTCTTTCCCACCACAGGGTTTTACTCATCCACAAAGAGGAAGGTGGATGCACCTCCATCACAGTTTTGTGTGGAGCCTCCACCTCCATCACTTTGGGATTTCAACTGCATAGTTAGTAGCAAATTGCTCTTACCCCTTTCCTGTGTGTCCTGCAAGATTAAGGACTTGGTTTTTTATTATTTTAGAGCCTAACCCTAGGTTGAACACAGCTGCAGGGTGTGTTTATGGCTGCGAGGAAAGAATGGCCTTGCTGAGTATCCCATCCAACCTAACTCCTCCCAAAAGGGCAGAACAACAAAGGCTGAGCTGGGAGATGATTTGCCCAAGTATTTGTCTAACCTCCTGAAATGCACTTGGCACCCCGAGGTCTGGTGGAGATGCTTGTGTCCTCCTATTCCTGGAACATTCAGCCTGCTATGGACAAGGAAGCATGGCGTAGCATAGCATATTTGACCCAGATCTCAAGATACTCTAGCTACTATTTAGATTCCCTGCAGCAGGAGATGAGAGAAATCACCTAAGAGAAGATGTGCTTTATCAGAGGATTAATTTAAAGCAGCCTGGGACAGAGAAAGAGAGATGGGCCAAAATCAAAACCACAGAGAAAATTCAGTATTAGACCTAACCTTTGCAGCTGAGACCCATTTCCAGAAAGATGTTCAGCCCTGGCTGGAATAGGACTGTTTCTAAGCATGGCCTGATTACGAGAGGTCTCAAGAGCCTCTGGTTTCCACTGACCTTCTGAAGATCAGGATGTCTGGCAGCCCTGTGCTAGAGCGTTCTCTTTCTCACATGGCTATGGACCAGGTTTTGATATCTTCACTTCAGTGAACCTCTTCCCTGAAGACAGTGGATTTTTTTTCCTAAGGAAAAAATGACAAAGATGAATTGAACTTCCCAGGGCTCAGCCTCAGGAGGAAATGCCCGAATATGAAATGAGGTTGGACTCTTCAGGTCCTGTGAGAACCTCACTGGAGAAGTATTTTCTGAGTGACCTCCTTCAATATAGAAAGTCTGAGGGTTTTTGCTACAACATTTAGAGTCTGAGAAATCACAGTGGCTCTTTCCAGAGGTAGAATGGTCTTTTTATTCACTGCACACACAGAGAATCAATTAGTATTACAAAATCAGCTCCTGCCCAGAGCAGCGAGGTCTGGGTACGCAGCAGAAAGTGAGCTTCTGCTCTTCTCTTCACACCCAATGGACAGCCCCAGGGGAGAGTGGAGCTAATATGCACAAGTGCTGCCAACTTCATGACTGAATGGGACATGGAAAAGTTGCACGCTGTATAAATGCACGTGGGTAAGAAGTGCACAGCTCACATGGTGAATGGTGTAACAGTCCATTGCTAAGTGCACATGTGCTGCCAGTACCCAGGTGTCTTTCCACACTTGGTGTCAACAATTCACTATAGTCAATGCATCACCCGCTCTTGAGTTCTCACTTAACAAAACTTCTGTCCCATCGTCTCCCAAGAGGCTTTTCCAAGACCTGGCAAGCAGAACCTCCTCCATGGAAACCCCGTGGATTAGCCATCCAGCCTGGATGCCATCAGCAGGGATTGGGTTGAGCCTGTAAAAATCTCTAGAGCAGGGCTTTTAACTTCATTTATCCTTACACAGCTCCAAGCACCCTGATGGCGCCTCTAAACACAATTAATAACCACCATGCACTGTGAATGGGCATATTGACTACTGTGACGCTACTACTCTAAAGGTCCTTTCTATCTCCACAAAAAGAGTCTCTTGCCCACATGGAGGTGAGACCATCTACTGTCACTACAACTCTTAAAAGCCATGGGTGCTGTCACCAAGCCACATCTGCAATGATGGTAGCATCGGGCTTGGTTTCAGCTGCATCACAGACAGACGAAATTCCCAAGAGCTCCCACTCCAGACACGCATCTGTAGGAGTCAGCACTCTCGGAGCACGGATCTGAGATACCTCCTGTTGCAGCAGGCACAGACACTGAACAGACCCGGTGTCTTTAAGCGTTGGGGCCAAAGGCTCCAGGCTCAGCTCTTACAGAAGAGTCCCTGAGGCTCATTTTCAACAAAAGCGTTAAGCTCAGATTGTTTGCTGACTTGGCCCCAGTGTCAGACCCAACTGCCGCAAAACACAGCACGACAGCACTGCTGGTGTCCAAGGGACTTCTGTCGCTGCTGCCAAGGGAGCAGAGCGGACCCGTCCGTGCCAACGAGCCCTCCAGGCGACCTGGAGCAGCACCTGCCTGCAACAGCCCCAGGGACTGCTGCTGCTGTGCTATGGCATCGGGACAATCAGATGAAGCCAGCGAGGGTCCTGCCAGTTCTGTGGTTCATCACCGTGGGCGTAGATCAGCCTGCAAGCGTTATTCTATCACCTCTGCTTTGCCTTTCGCCTCCTGTCACTAAAGCTACTGTGGAACTACTCACAGAGCGAAGCAGTCACTACCAAAGACATGCTCATAGCTACGTGCACCAGTCTGCAACATTCCTCTACTAAACACTACTTAACTCCCCAAACCCCCCTGAAATCAAAGCAGATGCCCTGTTTGCTAGGCAGGACTCCGCACGTGAACCACCCAGTAAAGGGACTGCGCAGGGACACCGCTGGCTCGAAGAGCGGAGAGGCAATTACCACTGAAGTACCCCACAGGCTGCAGCGTATTCCTCCTGCAGCCCCCCATTACTGCAGGCAGCGTGACCCACGCAGGAGGCTGGGGTCCCTGCACACACACGCACACACACACAAGAAAGGCCAACGACCCACGTATTTCATGCAGCAACAGGGATCAGCCCAGCGCTGGGGGCTGCGAAATGGCACAGCCTTTATTGAAACAAGCTGTGTCCGGGCTGGCGGTGCCTGTTCTGCATCCCAGACAAGCAGGTGTCAGAGCAATCACCGTTCGGAGCCCTGGGGGAGAGGGGCTTAGCACAAAGTGGCTACCCAGCATCCAGCTGCAAGGGCCCGCACGTGTAAATAAACCCAAGCCGTGTTCCTGACCGGTGCAAATCCTCACACCTCCCTGAACTCCACCGAAGAAACAACAGCTAATATTGGCTGGCAGCTTAGGCCCCCGATCTCCAGGGACCGCTCTGGTCCCGCTGCAATGCAAACACTACATCCATGCCCAGCCATCCCCTCCAGCAGCGGCTCCATCCCAGCTCTGCCAGGGATGCGCTGGTATCATTCAGCTAACGTGAATACACACCGTACCTAGAGGAAGGATGTGTTATATAGATAGTTTCCAACACGACACCGCTCAAAAGCCACAGAGCTGCTGGCGGACAGACCCTTCTGACAGACAGCACCCAGCCTCCAGCAGCGTTTCTCAGACTACCATGCAACCCCTCTGGTACCCCAGTGATTCAAATGGGACCACAAAGTGTTGGTGGCAGCGGGAGGTCAGCTCCCAGGGCAGGAGAGTAAGAACAGGCTGCAAGTCCCCACAGCCGCTGCTCACCGGAGCCGCTACCTGCCCTGGCTGCTGAGTGAGCACAAACCTCCAGTCCAGCAGCTACAGCCCAGTTTTCCTCCCTTCTCTCTCCCAGAAAAGGGGGAAAACCAACTTTGTCAAGCTAGTGGCCCAGAAGAAGACAAAGGGGTCAAGGGACAATACACTTTCCAAAAGTATGAGAAACACTCTGAAGGGCACAATAGGATTTTACGGTATCCCAGTTACAGCAGCCAGGGCTCTCCCTGGGTTCAGAGAGGCCCCCTCAATGAAATGAGGTGGTCCTTTGAAGGACAGGAGAAACGAGTGCTCTGTTTCCTACGTCCAGAGAAAATGAGTCCCATCAAAATACTTAAATAACTAAAAATAAATTATTCCCCTTTTTCCTAATCGAAGTAAAAAGCAATCATGTAAATTCAAATAAATTAACCCCCCCAGAAGAAACCATAATGAGAAGAGGGGGACCTGAACTTAGCAAGCAGTTTTGTTCTGCATGATACAAAGCAAACAGAAAATATAATGCAAAAACCACTGACGGAGCCTGGAATAAAGAAGCAAGACATCCCAGCTATCCACACTGAAATGGTGCAGACATCTCTATGTTTGCAAAGGAAGGATATGCCACCTTCCCATACAAAATCAGCCCAGGACTGATGCAAAAAGAACATGAGCCCAAAGAGAAAAGCTGTACCAGACAGAAGCAGAGAGCAGGTCCCTTGCATAGAGGGATGGGTCATGGGAGCAGGAGCAAATGCAGGGAGCGA